TGACCCAGTCATTACGCTAACTGCTGGTCCCTCAACTGCTTCATTTTTTTTTTTTAAAGTAAAGAGGAAGAACATATAAACCAAGTAAGCTTCTACAACAAGAAATTTTAAAGGAACAAAATGAAAACTCACTAGAAATTAGAATTAAACAATAAAGGCAGAAATAATGAATTTGAAAATAGGTGGCAGACTTAATAAATAGAATTTATTCCCAGAGAATAAATTTGTTCCCAGAGAAATAGAGAGTAAATTGAGTAAAACTATCTCAGATTAGAAATTATTATGAAAAATCATGGTAGATTTCACTTCTTACAAATAGAAACTCTCTGTGAGTCAATTTTTAAACCAAATAACCAGCATAGTAAACACATTTGTAACAAATTTCATAAAAGTTCAAAACAATCATTTTTTTTTCTTTTTTCTTTTCTTTTCTTTTTTTTTTTTTTTGCCATAAGGCATGTGTGCTCACCAGAAAGAGACAGAGAGAGATGGTGAAAGGGGAAGTGAGAAATGACCCCCAAGGGGGATAGCACGGTCCTCTATTCTCCTCCTAGGATTTTGGGTACATATGCACACGTGCCCAGCATGATTTTCAAGCTGTCAGGTCCAGGACTTGAACTATGGTCAGCCATGTGAGAGTCTAGCACCTTAACCACTATGCCACCTCCTGGACCTCAAACGATCCTAGTTTTAAAAATCAGTGGTTGCTTTTGAGGGGAGGAAAGGACATCTGTCAGGGTAGCCAGAGTAATCAATGAAATGTATTTCTTGCTTGGTGGAGATAACCTTATCATAACTCATAGAGTCATGTATTTCATGCACATGCTTTTCTTCATTTGCTTTTACTTTATACTAAAAACAGTAAAACAAAACCTAAAAAAGCACCACAGGTGAGCAGTATTTTTCCACAGTTTAAGATAGAACAAATGACTAATAAGGATACAAAAAAAATTGGTCATATTTGTTATTAAAGTAATGAAAATTAAAATTAAAATCTCAGGTCCAGCAAGTGGCATGGTGATTAAGGCGTTGGACCCCCACATGGCTGACTGCAGTCTGAGTCCCAGACTGGTGGCTTGAAAATCACACCAGGCACATGTGCATGCATGCACAAAATCCCAAGAGGAGAATGAAGGAGAAGGGACTGTGGTATGGCCATCCCCCCAGGTGGGGGTGGGGGGAGAAGGTGTGTGATTTCTCACTTTCCCTTTCTTTGTCTCTCTCTGCAGAGTGCATGTGGTCTCTGGCAAAAACCTAAAACTAAAATAAAATCTCAATATAATAACCACATTTTAAAATCTGTTGAACGCTAATGAATGTACCTCAAAATGAGACCCTCTCACATGGCAGGTCAGGTTGAAAACAGGCATAACCAATTTGCAGTTCCTTAGAAAACCAGTTCAGCAATACTCACAAGAGGTATGAATGTTTTCATATCTTTGGCCTGATCATTTCACAACCAGCATTAGAGGCTCAGGATACACACGAGGCCCTGATAACCATATAACCTCCCCAAGTCACAATTGTTACCATCGGTTTTTCTCCAAGGAAGTACCATGGAAAGTCATTTTAAAGGATTGTATTGGATTGAACACCAATTGGCTTGTCAGTCCATTCATAATACCTTCCCGTTCTCAGACCTCTCATAAATTTTCAAATAACTTCCCTCTTCCTCCTCCACCCATTAACCACGGAAACGCCCATGTTCACACAATGTGACCCCAGACCACAGTCCAGAGCTGGGCATGTGGTAGAGAGACAAAACTGTGCTAGGATGAGGAACAGGCTCAGATGACCCTAAAGGACAACTGATTGATGTCTAAAACTGAGATTTGCACCCAGATGAAGGGAGGGCTGAGGCACTCTACATAGTGACCAAGGCAGTCGAGAACGCAGGCCTAGGACAGAGGAGGAAAAAGTGGCTGAAAGAGAAGACAGAGGTGAGCATAATGGATGCGACACCCTGGCATGGACCCCAGTAAACACAGCCCTATCCTAAAGCACACACATTTCACTTAGTGTAGCCCCATTCTGAAGGGATTCTGTTGTGTGCAATCAAGCACAAGGATGCTGGGACTGATGTCAGATGACAACCATGGTGGTTAAATTCATGTCCAACTCACGACCATGGGTTTAACAGGTTTCTTCACTACAGGGCTTCTCACAGATTGTGATGTGATAATGGACCATCACTGGGGGGTGATTTCTCGCTTTCTGTCTCTATGTCTCTCTGTCTGTCTGGTGAGCGCATGCGCCCTATAGCAAAAACCTCTCCAAAAAAAAAAAAAATAAAGAATATTCAAGAAGTCAGGAACTGACCTGGGTTTTTAAGCTTTCTAGTATTAGTGATTTTGTTTTCATAGTTGAATTACTTGTGCTGGTTTGGAACAGCAGGATATAGACCCCAAAGTCAAAGACCTATGTGGCTATTCACGTGAATGTGCAAAGGAAGTAACTCTCATTATGTTCTTGTGATCAAGGCAAGAGGCCAAAATAGATCTTGCTTAGTATTATTAGGGTGACGATATGAAATACTAATGTTGAGTGTCTTACTAAGTTGAGCTGGCTGGAATTTATATGATACAGGAGTAATTGGGGGTAGAAGTGGGGGTGGAGAATATTCAAGAAGAGATTAAAAATCATTTCCTAAACTTCTTGGATCCCAGAAGTCTTGTCCACAGAATATTTATCTCACTCATCAAACCTTTCCTGAGTACTTACTTTATGTGAGCATTGTTCTAGAAGCTAGAGCTATCTATGACTGTGAGCAAAGTACAAGAGACTGAGTCAGCATTCTAATGGAAATGGTGAAAGTCATCAGGATCAAAATGAAATCATTTTGGGACCAACAGGTGGCATGATAGTTAAGATGCTGGACTCCCACATGGCCAACCGTGGTTCGAGTCCCAGACTTTGGTGCTTGGAATTCATGCCAGATGTGTGTGCCCAAAATCCCAGGAGGAGAATGGAGGAGAAGGAATTGCAGCATGGCCATTCCCCTAGGGGGTGATTTCTCACTTTCTCTCTCACTATCTCTCTCTGTCTCTTTCTAGTGAGCACATGCAATTTATGACTGAAAAAAAAAAAAAAACCTAACTAAAAAAAAAGGAGTCATTCATGTCAAACTGTGCAAAACCCTGACTAAACTGGGCTGGGGAAGACCACAGAAGGGACGGTTTCCATGCTAGTATGCTGATAAGAACTGTCCTCCCACAAAGACCAATGTAAATGTAATCTGACACAAGGACACCTTCGATGAGAACCTCTACCCAGAGACTGCCAGTCCGACCTTAGAATGATGCAACCCTTGGGGACCAGCACATGGTGTAATGGTTATGTTGCTAGACTCCCATGTAGT